AAGGAATCGAACTCGGGTCGGCCATGTTGGCTGCATGCAAGGCAAACGCCCTACCACTGTGCTATATCAAAGGAAAAGTGGAGAAAATAAGGGAAAGTCAAAAAAACAAAGTACAAAAGCACACAAAATTTTCATATAAAATGGTAATACACTCCTTATGACAATAATTTCTCTAATGGTAAAGGGACTGAACTCTCCAGTCAAAAAACACAGAGTGACTAAATATATCAGAAACCAAAATCCAACCTTTTGCAGCTTTTAAGAAACAAACTTGAACTTTCAGAAAACACAGGCTCAAAATGAAAGACTGAAAAACTATTATATTGATTCCAGCACTTGAGGTACCCCCTGTGTACTGCCAGGAGGGACCCTCAAGCACAGAGCTGGGAGTAGTCCCTGAGCATGGTAAAGTGTGGCCACTGATTTTTTTTTTAATGTAAGAGTACGGCTATTTATTCAGCCACTGATTAGCTGATTGAATTGAGCGTGAACTCTACCTTACTTTTTTTTCATTTTTTATAATTTTATTTATTGAATCACCATGAGAGCAGTTACAAAGCTTTCGGGTCTAAGTCTCAGTCATACAATGAAACACCCGTACCTTCACCAGTGCCCATTCTCCACTCCCAACAACCCGAGTATACCCTACTCCCACACCCTCCCGCTACCTGTGGGGCAGATGATTTCCACATTACTTTCTCTCTATTTTGATCACATTCAATATTTTGACACCAGACCCACCATTATTATTTGAGATTTTACCCCAACACTCAGATCTGCTGAAAAGGCAACAGTAGACAATTTGTTTTCTATTGTTGGTTATGTATAACATATGATGTCGCGTGGCTGCAGTAGTGGCTGTGCGATTTTGAAATTCTGAAATTTTAACTTAAATCTGGAGGGATTTCTGCCAAAACCTGCTGGGTTCCGAGATTTGCTCCTGAGTCTCTGGGATCATGGCCGTTAAACAGCTTGGTCAGGAGCCAGAGAGGCTGTTCGTGGGCGATGACTTGGGGTCTTATTGGGGTGGGGAGGACAGGACCGGCTCCACCCCATCCTGTGAGACCCAAAATGTCGCGTCACTGTGGGCCCAAACCTGACTGTCCAATAGCTTCTGGAGGATGACGGCCACTGAGCTACCAAGGGGAAGCAGGTGGAGGGACAACACCCTTTCCCCCCTGGGGTGGCCCGGCGACAGTAACCTACTGCGTGGTCTGGACGCATTTCTGCCAAAAGCCACTGAGTTTTGAGATTTGTTTCTGAGTCTCTAGGATCATGGCTGTGAAGCAGCTTGATCAGGAGCCAGAAAGGCTGTTTGTGGGTGATGACTTGGGGTCTTGTTGGGGTGGGGAGGACAGGATCGGCTCCACCCCCACCCTATGAGGCCCAACATGTCTTGTCACTGCGGGCCCTAGCCTGACTGTTCAATGGCCTCTGGAGGATGGCAGCCACCGAGCCACCAACGGGGAGCAGGAGGGATAGCACCCTTTCCCCCCTGGGGTGGCCTGGCGACAGTAACCTACTGCGGGGTCCAGACACATTTCTGCCAAAAGTCACTGGGTTTCGAGATTTGTTTCTGAGTCTCTGGGATCATGGCGGTTAAGCAGCTTGATCAGGAGCCAGAGAGGCTGTTCATGGGCGATGACTTGGGGTCTTGTTGGATTGGGAAGGACAGGACTGGCTCCACCCCCATCCCATGAGGCCCAACATGTCTCATCACTGCGGGCCCAAACCTGACTGTCCAGTATGGCCACTGATTTTTATAAATTTATTTTTAAACACACAAAGCAAGGGTATGGACAGTATCCAGTGAAAACAAACCCTTGGACACAGAACTGAAGTTGTTAGTCGGTAAATTTCCCAGCTAGTGGTTTCTTGCTCTGTGATGTAAAAGTGAATTATTGCACAACTGGTCTGGACTTGCAAAAAGGCCAATTTTATTTCTTCAAACCAAAGAGTACCTGAGATGGTCAGGTACTGAACATCACTCAGATAGTACAGGGCAGGATTCTCAAAAATGCCATGGTAGCATCAAGCTTTAATCTCTTCCCAGCTTGGGACAGGCCCAAGCTGTGATGTAGAACTTTAGTCTGGTCCTATGGGGTAAGCTAAAGAGACAGATCATTAAGATTCAAAACTCCCATTTGTTTCCTGCCCTGATTGGAAGGGAGAAGACGCCAGAATTTTGAAAGAGCTCTTTTCTTCTCAACCACTGGTTAAAATAGTTGGGTTTAGAGACAGAAAAAGCTGTGTTTCTTGGTAATTAATCTCAGTAAATGACTAAAGATAATAAAATCATCACTTAATCTTAATCACTTAATCACTTAATCCCCGTTATTCATCGATTTATTCGAGCGGGTGCCAGTAACGTCTCCATTCATCCCGGTTGCGTGCTAGCGTAGCCCAATGGTATCTGTTCGTTTTAGGAACATGTAGAGCCTCAAACCGATCATTTAGGGTCTTGACGAAGAAGTCTGACCATCTTATAGGTGGGCGTCCACGTGATCTTTTGATGTCTCGTGGAATCCAATCAGTAATGGCTCTAGTCCAGCGGTTGTCTGTAAACCTCATTACATGTCCAGCCCATCTGATTTTTGATGTCTTGGAAAATGAGACAAAAGATAATAAAAACATTATTAAAATAAAATAAAACTAAGAAGGTTGAAAGGGGAACACAACAAGAGAGGTAGTAGCCTAGAAAAGTCTTAGGGATAGGACTGGAGGATTTGGGGTACTTCAGCAGATGTGGTGGTGTTGACTATGGTACAGTAACTGTATACCAAAAGCATGAATACTATTGGTAAACTGTCTCAGCACTATAGCACTGTCCTCCTGTTGTTCATTGATTTGCTCGAGCGGGCCCAGTAATATCTCCATTGTGAGACTTATTGCTGTGTTTGGCATATTGAATATGTCACAGTTAGTCACGGGTAGCTTGCCAGGCTTTTGCCGTGCGGGTGAGATACTCTCGGTAGCTTGCCAGGCCCTCCGAGAGGGGTGGAGGAATCAAACCCGGGTCGGCGTGCAAGGCAAATGCCCTACCTGCTGGGCTATCACTATAATAAAATTTTTAAATTGAATTTGACTAAACACTTTTGAAAATAAATTAAAAATTTATTTTTAAAATTTTATTTTTTACCCCAAAGCAAACAAAAAAGCTGTCTTACAGATATCTGCTAATTGACTCATATTCCATTCCGAGGCAACAACATATCTGTGTCGGTTGTTTTGTTTTTGTTTTTCAGTTTTTGGATTTCGGGGCTACATTCATTGCCACTGAGGTGGAGGTGTGGTAGCGATGAAAGGCTATTTTCAGTTCTGTTAAGAATTACTCAAGGGGCTATTCCCAGTGGTGCTTGGAAGACCAAACAGGACCTCCCCAATATAAAACATGTGATCAACCTATAAGCTATCTCTCTGGTCCTTCTTTCTGTCTTTATATAAATTGGTCTTTTTGAACTTTTCATGGAAATGGGATCATATGCTCTGTGGTCTTGTCCATCTGGCTTATTTTTCTGGAATATTTTTGAAGTTCACCCATGTTTTAGTCTCAGTCGCTCATTTTATTATTGAATATTCAGTTGCATAAACCACATTTTGTTTTTCCAGTCACCATTTGATGAAAATTTGGATTGTTTCCACATCTGAGCTATTATCAATACTGCTGCTATGACTACTCATGTGCAAGTCTTTATTTTCACTTTTCTCAGGTAGAAACCTAAGACCAGAACTCATGGATAATATGGTAAGTGTATTTTTAGCATTTTGTGAAACTGTCAGTCGGCTTTCCAAAGTAGATGTGGAATTTGACATTCCCAACCAAAGTATTTGAAGTTTCCATAGTTTTCACATCTGGAAAATTTTAGCTGAAGAATGTGAGTTGGCTATTGCCAACAATAACAACCATTCATCCAGCGAATATTATCTCTGTATCTACGACAAAGAGAGTGGTGAGTTCTGGTTTTTAATTCTACAAGGGATCCCCGACAACACTGTTGATGAAAAAGATAGTACCCAATAACTATTTTAACATGCTGGTCCTGGTTCTCCCAAGGTCGTTCAGATAGAGGAGAGAGTGAGTTTACTAAAAAGAGTTGGGTGTGCTGCAACGGTCAGGGTCTACTAGTGTATCCCTATGATCCAAGTAAGTCCAGAGTGTTTTCCTCACGTTGTGCAAGGGAACATCATCCAGCCTTGAAAACTTGGGTACCACAGAGAGAAACAAGGTGTGTATAGTGCTTGGCAATGTGTTTTGATACCAATGGAAATCAGAGAATGGCCGTAGATGCCTTAAGAGGGGCCCAAGTAAATGGAGGAAGAAATGTGCTCAGATCAAGCAAAGATTTTCTGTTGTTGTTGTCATACTGGGTGTTGCTCTCGGATTACTCCTAGCTCTGTGCTCAAGGATTACTCCTAGCCGTGTTTAGGGGTTTAGGGGACAGTATGTGATGGCAGGAATTGAACCAGGGTCAACCTCATGCTGGGCAAGTGCCCTACCTCTCTGGACCAAGAAATTTTTTTTTAAGGACTTGTTCTTAATCATATTTGAGAGGCCCAAAGGCTAGAATTCTGTTGGTGCATGAGGGAAATCAGTAAACCAGGATATGCAGATACAGATGTAGATGCAGGGAGAAAAGAAAAGGACAAATGGCAGAAAATTAGTGGACACACTATTTTATCACTGGATCTTGTGGAAGGCTTTGTTACTGTTTTTGTATAGAACTTCAAGTTTCCGACAAAGATTTTGTATTAGTGGTTGTGGTTTTTTTTAAAGTAATGAATGTTAATTTTTTTTAAGACTTCCAGAATATTCCTTTCCAAGAAGCACAAAAACCCTGGAAGCTCTGCGCAGCTGGGATCCAGCATTTTCCTGTTTCTACTGCCAAGCCCCTTTTTCGCGCCCCTGGGCCCCAGCTAGCAGTTCTCGCCCACTCCCACTTGTGCCCAGTATCCAGTTGCCATGGAAACAAACCAGGTTGTGTGGAGACTTCTGAGGACCGGGCATTGAAGCTCCAACCCGACCAGCCCACTTCAACAACAGGCTGGGGGCCGAAGGAGGAGCCAGGGGAAGCGAAGCCTTTGCTGAGAGGCCCTGCAGACCCTGCAGAGGCCCCAGGCCCCGCTGGCTCCGCCCCTCGCCGCCCCCTCTCCAGTGGTAGATATACAGCCGCAGCCCCTGCAGCCGCCCACTGCGACAGGAGCTGCCAGAGCGCTGCCTCTACAGACCCAGCCGACCAACGAACCGCATTTTCTAGCGATGGCAGACGGCTTCTTTCAGCGCAAACCCTGGGACCCCGAGCACATTCGCCGAAGCCCCGACCCTGAGTCCGAAGGCCTGTTCGACAAGGCCCCTCCGGAGGAGCCCCCTGCCCGCAATCCCAAGTGGGGCGGCAAGAAGGGTGGTCGGCGCGCTGGGAGGGGACTGGCGGCCCGCTCTGGGCAGTCCCTGAAAGCTGTTGCGCGCCCCCAGCCCAAGGAAGAGGCGCCTCCACTGGATGAGGGCTGCTATCTCGACCATTTCCCGCACCTCTCCATCTTTATCTACGCAGCGATCGCCTTCTCCATCACCTCCTGCATCTTCACCTATATCCATTTGCAGCTTGCCTGAGTAGCGCGGGCAGGAGGCTGGGCGCAAAGCCAAGGTGGGAGGAGGGAGGGAGGGAGGGAAAGGAAGGGTCTCAGCATTTGATGTTTTGGTGACGCGATCTACCCCCTTCATTTAGCTTTTGATGCTTATTTTCACTGTATCGTAATACCTTTGTCTAAGTATCAGTAGGATAGCCGAAAGCGACGGGTAAATACGTAGGAGTCTAGCATACAAAGTTTAGAGACGGGAGCAGTTAGTTCCCAACATTTCGAATCTCTGAGTGTTGTTAAGGCGCATTTCCAGTTAGGGTGCTGTCTCGGGATCCTTCCACTTTGAGTGGTAGGGTACGCTCATCATTTTGTGTTCGGACCGCTAGAGCGGCCCCGCCTTCTCTTCTTAAAGGAATGGATAAGATGATCCAGGGCCGCGGTCTTCCAGAAAGAGCCGAGAATCGGCGCCCTGTCTAGTGACGCTGCATGGCCACCAGGAGGAGCCAGCTGTGCCCCTGAGCTGCTGCAGACCGAACTCGGAACGCGGGAGCTGGCTATTCAGAGCTTGCAGCTGATGCCAGCAGAGCGCAGGATAAGGTAAAGGTGTTCTGGGGTAGCGCACGGGTCGCCTTGGGGCCTGGGGGGAGACGACGGGATTTGGTGGGGGGAGGAGTGTTCTGATTGATTTGGATTTTTGTTTTTTTTGCTGCTGCAGGTTTGTCACCGCTGCCTAACCAAAAGGACCCCTAGAGACAGTGGGCTACCCTGCCCGAAGGCCACATCTCTGGTTTGTGCCGGACAGCGCGGGACCTGCGGCTGCAGGCTTCCCGTGACGCAGGATCACTTTTCTGCGCGGCTAGCGCAGGGGCGCAAGTGTGCGCACGCGCATGATGCGCCAGAAAGGACTCGGGCTGGGACTGAGGCGGGAGGGTTCTCTGGGGATTGCAATGGAGTTTGATCCTGACCCAAACCCTTAGGAGCCTAAGGGACCAAAGACAACTGGGGGAATTTGTTCTTGATGATATCTTGTGTTGGAAAATTGCCCGACTCCTAATGGTTTGTGATCTCAGACCCAAAAACCTAATACTAGAAACAACTTGTCAGGCTATTCACCCACCAGTCATCTGTTTACTCGTGAATGTTAAATGTAAAAATGTAGTGCTCTAATACTGCGTATACTTGGAAATGTAATTGTGGTATTTCTGATATAATAAACCATCTTTTTCAGTCTCTATATTCGTTCTATGTTAATTTTCAGCTATTCAAATGGTCCCTCAAATGACCTAATCTGTCCCAGGTTTCACCTCATAATCTTCACAATATCCCTTCTCGCTCCCAGACTAAGATCCCCATTATACAGTTAGCCAGTTCCAACATATATCATCTCCCTCCTTAATTTAAGTAACACTTAGAAGTCTCTCAGGTGCATTGTTCTCCCATACTAGTTCAGGCAATACGCCAATGCCCAGTTCTATCCCCTAACAGCAGGTTTGCTAATATCCCATTGTGGCTTTATCTATTGTTCCTCAATATTCAGTCCCCACTTCCTCCAAGATCCAGCTGTTCCAGAACAATGCTTTTATGGTCAAGAATTTATTCCCAATATACCTAGCTTTTGATAAGCTATAATTTCTAGTATTAGGGCCTCGTCATTCCCCAGTTTTAACTTCCTGCACTCCCATTAATGCTATATTTCTTAAAATCTTGCCTATCCGTGAGACAAGAAGCCTTGGAAGGATCTCTCATATATGGGATATAAAAAAATTTTGTAGGGCAATAGCAAATGCCCAAAGGCAATAGAAATGAAGAACGAGGAACAGTAGAACAGGTGGTCCTCAGTAGGAAGCTTACCACTGGGACAGGAGAGGGGTGGGGGTGGGAGGCTAATAAATTAGGGAAGGAAACACTAGGGCAATGGGAGAAGGGGAAACATGCTTGTCACAGAGGCAGGTTGAGGGGCTGGAGGGAAACGGGATGTTGGTGGAGAGTAGTGGAAACTGGTAAAGTGATTGGTACTGAAACATTGTGTGCCTACAATTCAATCATGAATATCTTTATAACTTTGCAATTCAGTGATTCAATTTAAAAAGAAAAATCTTGCCTCTACACTTTCAGTACCATAACTGACATACACAATTCACACTTTATAGCCAATTTACTGCAATAATTCACCTCATTTTTCCATAGTACAAAATATTCTCCACAAAATATTCAAAGTAGCCTATATTTTTCCAGCATTTAGTCCTGGATATTGGGTCTTCTTTTAATATGACTATTAATAGTCCATTTTTCTAAACATTTGGTCTCAGATTATCAATCACACAATATACAATCATATACACTGCACAAACATATCATTATGCAATCTTTCACTTAGTGCTCAGGATATAACTCCACCTCATCCACTCCCCCCACTACACACACACAAAAACACATACACACACACCTCTTCATTCAGAGAGTCCTCATAGAAACCCTCATTCCAACAACAAAAGCTCCCTGTTTCCGAATATTTGATATTTTTACATACGTATCATGACCCTTCCTGTGCTACCAAATTTAAACCTCTATTTTCTGAGTTCCATGATTATATCATTAGGCCCAAATTGCCTCCATATTCTGAACACTGGTTCTAATTGCCCGGTCCCATTATTTGAGGATTGTATTGCTCACAACTGAACTGTTAGTCTTGTCAATATTATGCTCCAGAATTTCTAAGCATCCACCCCATCATAGCTGTCTTCAATATTAAGTTCACCCAAGTCCCTAAAATTAATGCTTTATTTCCATAACCAGTCTCTATTAGTACTTATTTTCCTCTATATTTTGAATACGGGGTGTGGGTAGGGCAACCCCAGTTGGGGCTACTCCTTACTTTATACTCAGGTTTGCTCACAGCATGTGCTCAGCACTTTAAACTAGCTCCACAGCCCCTCCACCAGTTATACCAGGTGATCCTTTTGCATCTTCATGTGTCAGACCAAGCCAACATTCCCTTATAATAAACCCCATGTCATTTTATTACCCTTCACATCCCCATCCCACTGTAACTTCAAGATTACTGCTGTCTTTGCTGAGCTCTCAATTGTTTCCCAATTACTGTGCTTCCAATGAAAATTCCCTTATCAAAATGCCAAGTCTTCGGCTGAGATAATACAATACAGCAGGTATAGCACTTGCTTTGTATGCAGATGACCAGAGCCAACCCAGATCGGGTCCCCATCACCACATATGGTCCAGAAACTTGCCAGGCACTGAGCACACTGGGTGTAGCCTTAAAAAAAGAAAGAAAAAAAAAAGCAAACACCAAAAACCAAACCTTTTTTTTTCAAATAAAAATGAATAAGCTCATTTTAGTGTACCTATCTTTTGCCTTTTTATTTTTAAACCATTTTATTCATTTTTATTTATTTCTATTGGGTTTGACTTTTAGCACTGGATGATCCCTCGAGCACTTTCTGATGTGAGAACCATACCCCACACCCCTCAAATGTGCAGGGAACTTCTGATAATTGAGCTTATTTTTTTGATCCTGTGTTCTGTTGCTCAAGGATCAAATTCTAATAAGACTTACTGACCTGCTTAGTCAACTGCCCTTCATTAGACAAAAAGAGGGTATCTAAAAAGACTATCCTTTGATAATAACATGCAACAGTTGTTTGCCCAAAGAAAATGTTTTCAGTAATGTATACTAGACAAAGTTAACAGATAACTAGTAGGCCAACATTTACTAGATCAGAAATAGTCAAGGCAATTACTGTTTTATTTTGTCTTTTGTGCCACATCGAGCTATGCTCAGGACCTACTCCTGGCTCTATGCTGAGATTGGGATCACTCCTGGCAGTGCTCAGGGAATCACAGATGGTGCCAGGGATCAAACCTGGTTCATGTGTCTGCAAGCCAAGCACCTTACCCAAAATACTGTTTCTCCAGTCCAATTATATTATTTTTGTTTGGGGCAATAGGGGAGAGTCAAGAGTATTGGGAGACAGAGAGAGCAATCCTTGAGCACAGAGCTCAGTAGTAAACCTTAAGCACTGGCAGGTGTGCCCCCTTGTTCTACCACTGAAGATATATATAACTGGGGCTGGAAAGACAGTACAGTAGGTAAGGTGCATGCCTTCCATGCAGCCAACCTGGGTTCAATCCCTAGCATCCCATATGATCCCCCAAGCACCGCCAAGAGTGATTCTTGAGTACACAGGCAGAAGTAATACCCAAGCATCAGAGTGTAGCCCCAAAACAAACAAAACAGATATAATCATTCCACCCACAATCCTAATGGACTTTTTAGGAAAAAATATGAGGAAATTTTTTTTCATTTGGGCAAAAAGTTGGTACCGAGGGAAAAAACATCATAAAAAATTTAAAAAGTTTAAATACGTATTTTGGTTGGGAATATAGCTCAGTGGTCCAGTGCATAATTGCAATATGAAAAAAAATGGCATACATATCTCAGTTAGTATTGATTTAGCTATTACATTCAAATCAAGATCTTCTATTACTGGGCTCCAATAACACATTTGGTTTAACATTATCAGACCTTTGTCTGGAAAGAATTTACCTTAGAAATAAAAACAATCACCTTTTTTTGTTGTTGTTAATTTATTCTTACACCTCCCGTTTGATGTCTCTATTACAATAACCAAAGCTCTCTCACATGTGCCTGGTTATGGAGCTCATACATTTTTAGCCATGGTGCTTGTCAGGGTCTCGCATCTGGTTGCGGTGCCTGTGCATTAAACCAGTGTTCATCAAGGTATGAACTCCTTTGTTTTCGGTGCTTGCATACATGCTGGCCGAGGATCATACTCGTTAGTCGATGCACATATACTCTGGATGCAGTGTTCACTATGAATTGTGGTGGTACTTACACATGTACTTGCCAGAGGTCACATTCTCTGACCACAGTGCTCACACATCTTTTGAGTTAAGGTACTTGCAGTGCAGCCAGAAATCACTTGTAGCACTAAATATCATATATAGTAGAGGTGTGAGGCTCAAATAGACCCACCAAGATCATACTCCATATACAAGTAGGATACCAGAGATTTTAAACCAGATATTTTAAGAAGCCATCAAAGGGCTGAGGAGATACCTCAATGGGCCAGAGGTACATGCCTTGCATGTGGGTGTCCTCAGTACTGCCAGAAGCAATCTCAAGCACCAAGCCAGGAGTAGCCTCTAACATGTCACCCATTTAATCTTTCTCTCATTTAGTTTCATCCAAAAGATAAGGTGAAAGGATCAAGGTTACAAAAGATTCATGACCAACATACAATTTTACAAATATCTTTGACCAGCCAGGGAAAGACTTCTTCAACCACGTCCCTAAACAGTTATTACTGAATGGGGAATTGCTCTTTACCAACTTTAGTCTCTTAAGAGATGCTTCAAAGATTAGTTAAGAGTAGTACACAGATACTTCAGGCAAATGAATCAACACAAGGCACAAGGAAAATCCATTAAAATGCACTCTTAGACTAGGAATCATCATTGATGTAGATAATTTACGAGTCCCAATTTCTGAGTCACCTTTCACAATTCAGAAATTAAGATACTTTCAGTTTTTTGGCTTCTTTTCCCACATTCTCTCTAATATTTTGTAGTTTTCTAGAGTTTTGGACTAGGAACACTAAGCTCTCCCTAAAATCACTAGTTCCATTTTTCCTGCCAGCATTTTCTAGCTCATCAAACATGGTCAATGTCTTTTTGAGTCTGGCCTGAACAATTTTTTGTTCTTCTAGTTCAGCAAGAAAAGCCTGTTTAGTGCATAATTCAGTTTTATATTTCTCCTGTAATTGCTCAATTTCTTTATGGAGAAGCTGGAACTCTTCCTCACTGTAAGTAAGCGCCTCCTGAGATTTATCTTCCGGAAGTAAGATGTTTGGAGGAATTCGCAAGATCAGCTGTAAAAACAGTTGCTCCATTTTGCCAAAAAGGTTATCAAAACGTCCCTTCATGAAGCAAAGAAACTTCTCTGTGCATTTACGAATCTGAACTGGACTAATCTCACATTCTGGGATGCCATCCAACTTCTTCAGAATAACCTGTTCAACAGCCTGCATTACTTCAAACAAGTAGTCTTGAAATGCAATGTAGATCCTAAGCATGCAAGTTTGTGGTGTGAAGCCAAAGAATTGGGCCTCGTAGGTCATTGGATCAACAGACATCTTGACTGACTTTGCTGTATTAATTTTGACTGTGAAAAATCTTTAAATGTAAAAAGAAAGAAATTCATTTGGAAAATCATCTTAAGGAAAGTAACAGTATCATAAATACCCAATGCTACTTCCAATTTTATCAACAATAAAGACCCTTGCCTATGAGATTCAATCCATAACCTCCCTTTCCAAAACCTTCTCACTCTTCAGTTCATTCAAATCTCATCTGTTGAGGGCACTAGCTTTGGTATCAGTCTTCAGAATTGATATTATCCTCGACAAATTAAGTTTACAACCTAATTCCTTAGAAATTCTGGTTTCTTGAGTTGCAATAATCTTTTCTACTCTTAGCCAACCATTAGTATTACCTCCCCTTGAGTGTACCTTCTTTTTGACCCCAGCCTCATATGCTATCCTTTTAAGTTTCATTTATCTACACATATTGTACCTTTAAATCAAGACTTTCAGTCACTTTATCTTCTTTCATGCTCTCTTCCACTTTGCTTAATTCAAGCTCCATGATTGATCACCTTGCCAATATCTTCACCTCCTTTGTCTTCCAACCTAACCATCAGTTACAAACTGATAAAGCTTCCTATATAATTTACAGGCCTGATGTATTTTTCAGGGACCTGGAAGTCTTTCCTTTCAAAGGTGAGTGTCTAGGAAAATAGCATTTTTACCTCCCTATCACTGTGGGAGTTTAAGCTAAGTAATTTTTCTTACCTGTAACTATATCCTTTTCGTAAAAATAAGGTAAGTTTCATTACTCTTTTAGAAAGAAAATTAGCCAAAACAAAAGGCTACCTCAATTAATCAAGTAATTCTTGGGTAAAGTTCATGAAAGAATTTGAAGCAAATAGGGGTCAAAGCAATAGTACAGTGGGTAGAGTATTTGCCTGGCTCTTGGTTGACCTGGGTTCAATCCCTGACACACCACATGGTCCCAAGCCCCACTAGAAATGATCCTTGAGCACAGAGCTGAGAGTAAGCCCTGAGCACAGGATAGCCCAAATTCCAAAAAAAAATTTTTAAATAGTAAGATGGGGGGGGGAGGGGGAAGATTTTGAAGCAAATACTGCAACCAAATCCTTTTATGGCAAGAAAAATTGTCATAAAATCTTGAGAACCTAGACATATAATGGTTAAAAATAGAATAGCTGTGGTCCAGAGAGCTGTGGTCTTGCTTGTAGTGAAAGTTGATTTGATGCACGGTACAACTGATCCCAGAGCACTACCAGGAGTACCTCCACACTCCTCAATCGAAACAGAATAGATACAATTACTTGGCTATATATGGAGGACAGAATTTCTTTTGGGGAGAAGGTGGTGTTTTGGGTCACATCAGCAGTGGTACGGGCGACTTGCATTGTGGGAAAATGTGATGCCAGAGTTGGTCACATGGAAGTCAAGCACTTTAAGGCCTGTTATTATTTCTCTGATCCCTAGGGTACAATTTTTTTCTCTGTAACCTCATTCATAGGTTACCTATAATAATCTGCATATATTTAATAATCATACTTTTTTTGGCTTTTTGGGTTATACCCAGTGATGCACAGGGGTTACTCCTGGCTCTGCACTCAGGAATTACCCCTGGCAGTGGTCAGGGGACCATATGGGATGCTGGGAATCGAACCCAGGTCAGCCACATGCAAGGCAAATGCCCTACCCACTGTGCTATCACTCCAGCCCCAAACCTTTTTTGTTTTAAAAACTCTTTAGATTAGCAGTTTTTTTGGGGGGGTAGGGGGGACTGCCAAAGATGGAGCCTGGGTTAGCTGAATGCAAAGCAAGCACCCTACTAACTGTACTATTGCTCCGGTTCCCAGATTAGCAGCATTTTTATCTCCTCTATATTACTTTATGCCTGCAGGATTAAGTTCATTTCAATATAATTTACAAGATTCTTCATACTCCTTTTTTCTATTTTTGGTGTTCAGGGGGCCATGCAGTATCAGGTCTAGAACCAGGTTCCTACGTGCAAATTATGCATTCCAGTCCTTCAAGCCACCTGGACAGCCCGTCCTTTTACACGGCACTCTTTTTGATACATGCTAGATTCTTTACTCTTGCTTCCTTAATCTCCCATAGAAACTTAAATGTTTTAAGTATATGCCTTTTAAGTCATCTTTAGATAATCTTAAATAAGATTTACATAATGTAAAAGTAATTTTTCTTTGGTTTTTGTTTGGTATTTGCTTTTTGTTTTGATGCTACACCTGGCAGTGCTGAGGGTTTACTCCTGGCTATGTGCTCAGGGATCACTCCTGGCAGGGCTCGGGAATCATACATCATGTAGGACCTGGGTGTGTCACAGGGAAGGCTAGCACCTAACCCACTGTATCATCTCCAGCTCTTGTTTTCTTTTCCTTTATCCTTTCGTTTTGGTTTTGGGGTCTATCAGTGTTACTAACCGGGTATAGGGACTGAAACCCAACGCTCTTGATTGTGAAGCATGAGGTCCAGACCCTTAAGCTAGACCCTTTGGGATTGGGGATCCAATCCCAAAAATATTTTTTGTCTATTTACAATAATTTAACATTGTTATACTTCATTGGTTCTAACTCAAGTATTCAGTAAGTTTTATCACATATACATATCACACTTAATGAACAAGTTCTCCTTCAGACAATTTACTTTTAGAACCTTGCTACCAAAAATGTTGTGCTCTTCTCAGAGATTCTTGATCAAGTCAGCAGTTCAATTTGAGAGTTAGAACATGGTGGAATTTAGGGCTTGCAGTAACAGCAGGGAATCTTACCACTGCAACCCCAGTGTATTGCTGGGGAGGTCTACAAAGCTGCACCCAGCAATGCTTAGGGGGTCCATGTGGTGCGAAGGATCTCACAAGATTAGCCATATGCAAGGCAAATGCTTTTAACCCACTGGCTCCTATAACAAATACCCTTTTCAAATGTCTCCTTGGGAGTTCGCAGAATATTTACAATGGTTTCTGGGACCTAGTTTACTCATATGCAATTTCTCTAAATAATTCCAAAATGTTCTTTAAAATCGGGGAGGAGGGTGTTGAGGCCAGTTTACACTACCTGCACATGAATTTTTTAATTTCTTTGACCACCTGATATTATTCAAGATTTTTTTTTTTTTGGCCAACTTTTGCCAAGCTCTTTCAGTGTTGTTTCTTGAGAATCTAAACCATCTAGCCATACATTGGTTAACCACTAAGTTACACTCCACATTCGCACTTGGGCAAGATGGACCAACTTGTCAATGGGAAGCATTGATGATTTGTATCCTGAAAGTCTACATTATCCTCTCCTCAAAATCCCAGCTGTCTCTACTAATTCTGCATTATTTTCTGATCTCTATTCAACAAAATCAAGCCCCCAAATTCCCCAAATTGAAAAATCCACCTTAAATCTGACAATTCTCAAAAACTTCCTATCATGCTTTTCTCTTGTGTAGGTACTGCCAACACCCTATGCAGATGGAGATGATGGTCTAACAGGTTAAGGAATACACTCAGCACTGTTTTAAGGAAATGTGCACGTGTTTGGGGCTAGGGACAGGATGTATTTTAATGTACATTCTCAGACCGCCAGTTAAAATTGAGTACCACGTAAATATTAGTTCTTCAGATCAGCCCTTTTTATAAGTTACACATTCACATTTCTGTGTGTGCTACTGGAGATGGAACCCTCACATTCTTTGTTAAAACCATTTCTTCAGTCTCTTATTTGGTTCCTTAATACAGACTTGATAGTCGTTGTTTCAAATTATTTTAATGCTTTCTTATAACCCACCAAACAAAGAATGATAGCTATCTGCCTGTCATAATGTCTACTTTGGTTTTGCACAAATTGGGCCTTTTTCCTCCCTGTGATGCCTATCCTAAAAGAATCAAGATACCATACCCCTGCCCTCCCTCCTCTAAATTCCCATTAGCACTTTCTTCAGAGACATTTCAACTTTAGAATTTCACTACCCCGAGGTCTGTTAATTTACTTTCCTTAGACTTAGAGGTCCGGAGGGTGGGGGCTGTTTAGCAGGCCTTAAAAAACGTCTGCTGCCGAAACACTCCAGGGGAGGCGCTAAAGACGTGGCAAGTTGACCAAGAGCCCCAGAATCCAAAGTTAAGGGAGTACTTCCGGCCGCAAGGACCGGCTCCATCCGGCCCTGCGCCCCACTGCATGCCGGGAGCTTCGGGTCCTAGACTCGCCACCGGAGCGATAACGCCGCTCTCGGAGGCCGGTCCGGCATCCGCGATGTTGCCTAACCCGTTTCACTCCTCCCCGGGGCTCACCACTGAAAATGCTGCCCCGCCACACTTACCCTAGTCTCTAAAACCGGAATGAATGCGACCAAACACCAGCTTGGCGCCACCTCCTTTAAACGACCGCTCGCTGGCAACGGTAGGCAGGCTCGCGAGCGTCGTAAAGTTCCGACGGATGCCTGCCTCAGCGAATGAACGCAAAGGCGGGATGCCAGCGCGTTTCTGATTGGCTAGCTGTACGTTCGGGGCACGACCTAAGTTGGGTGACGCAGTTGGGCCGGACGGGAAAGCGAGCGGTGGCCGGCAGGGATTGGCGGAAGAAACCGGTACTTACGCTCTTCTTCCGGACGTTGGTAGATGGCGCAGAAAGGCTGGAGCGCTGCAAAGACACAACTCATGATTGGCAGCTGGGCTTCCCTAAAGACACTAGCGATTGGTGGATGGTCGGCCGCGCGCCATTGATTGGACGGTAACGGGAGGCTAACCGAGGGTCCCGCTTTAGTCCCTCCCCGTCGCGCGGCTTGACTGGCGGAAGGGGAAGTGGAGGGGGGCAGGCGGTGGTGGGGAAGATGGCGTACCAGAGCCTCCGGTTGGAATACCTGCAGATCCCACCGGTCAGCCGAGCCTACACGACTGCCTGCGTCCTCACAACTGCCGCTGTGGTAAGCAACTGGAGCGCCAGTGTGCACCCTCCGGGCTGGCTCCGACGTGGTCTTAAGAGAACTGCTGTTGGGGCCTGGGAGGGGTCGGTCTCGGGTGAGCGGAAGCGTCCGAGGTTCACGCTGAGTTCGGGGTCTCGCTGGAGCCCGACCGTGTTGAAGAGAAGGGAGCACCTCTTCCAGAGGGAAGGCGGGTCAGTTCTTGAAGCTGGTCCGCTGTGAAGGTGACTATTAGTCAGCCCTCCGGGAAGCGCCCACCCAAGAAACACGTCTGAAGACTCTGGCCGGGGGGATCGTAATGTCTCCTGGGGGGAGGCCCCGCTTAATAAAATTAGATGTTGCGGTTAGAAAGCGGGAGGTTGTTGAGGGAAGAGCCTTGAGATGGGCTATAAGCAAGCGCCCGGTCCCGACTTCGAGTCTTGCTTGCTCTTAGTCAGTAAGGCTGCTTCACAACTGTTACCAGTTGCTGCCCATGTAATGGGCAGATTCATTGCATCTGTGCTTGCCAGGAAAGAGCCCGGGCGCCCAGGTTTTCACGCCAGCTGTAGCTATTGCCCCCCACAAAACAAACTTTTGTGTTAGGTATTGGGGATACAAAGAAATATGCAGTTCTACAGAGTCCTTAACCAGTCTCTTTCCCCAATCTACGCGACCTTTAAAGGGTTTAAGTGGGACTGGAGCGATAGGCACAGTGGTAGGGCGTTTTCCTTGCACGCGGCCGACCTGGGTTCGATTCCCAGCATTCCATGGTCCCCTGAGCACCGCCAGGAGTAATTCCTGAGTGCAGAACCAGGAGTAATCCCTGTGCATCGCCGGGTGTGACCCAAAAAGGGGGGAAAAAGGCTTAAGTGTCTAAAAGATGAAAACTGTGTAGTCTGTCCTGTAAATGGGGAAAGTTTGATTTGCTATAGGAACTTATGTATTTAGGGCCAGGGATATAGTACAGTGTTTACATGCCTTACAGCCTTGGGGTGATTTCTGGCATCACCACCATAAATAAATAATCTCTTTTTCTCTTTCAGCAGTTGGAATTAATCACACCTTTTCAGTTGTATTTCAATCCTGAATTAATCTTTAAACACTTTCAAGTAAGTAGTCCATCACGACCAACGTTAATGTTTTATAGCTCTTCTGTTTAGTAACAGATCCGGGGAATACTTGGTTATATTCAGAGGGATAGAGGAGACAAACTAGTGATTTTGCAGCCTCTGTTTGCTTTATGAATCACTTAAGGAACTTTTAAGAGCTATTCAAGCCTCTCTATGGATAGGAATTAAGAATTTTTATTTGTCCCTAAGCACTGTAGGGTGTGGGGTCCTCCCTCCCATCCCACACACACACAAAAGAAAAAATTTTATTTGGGCACTGGGGTGTGACTGCATGGTAGAGCATTTGCTTTGTATGTGTAAGTCCCTGGGTTCAATTCCTACACCATCTACGGCCTCCCCCAAGGTGGGGGAGGGAGGGAACAACTGATGTTTTGTTTGTAAAAGTTTTCTGTATCATTCTGATTTGACTTTTCCAGTCCCTGTAATTAGGAATTATTAGTTCAGAGTTAATTTGTGGTCTAAAGGGTCATAGAGATAGTTCAAGTGTTAGAGTACATGCAGGCCCTCAGTTTGATCTTCATCTGTGTGTGGTGCTGGTAACCCCCAAATATTCTCTGTGGGGCCCCACAAAAATAGAAGCTACTTAACATCAGGAAGAATCTCACAATGACCTTATTTTGTCTACTCACTGCCTGGACACACCACCACTCCCCACTTTTTTTCATCACCATGGTTGAATTCAGAAACTCATATCTCTTAGTGCTTTTAAATTTATGCATAGAGCTGGAGTGATAGCATAGTGGGTAGGGCATTTGCCTTGCACCTGGTCGACCCAGGTTGGATTCCCAGCATCCCATATGGTCCCCTGAGCACCGCCAGGAATAATTCCTGAGTGCAGAGCCAGGAGTAACCCCTATGCATTGCTGGGTGTGACCCAAAAAGCAATAAATAAATAAATAAAGTAACTTTTTAAAAAAATAAATAAATTTATGCGTATTCCAAAAATCACATCATGCTAACCAAAACTCCCTACTTATATGTCCTGTGACTTCACCTAAATAATATTTGTATGACTAGGGTTTTTATTTGTTTCTTGTTTTCGGTCCCTACCTGGCATTGCTCAGTACTTACTCCTGACTCGGTGCTCAGAGATCCTCATGGTGGGGCTTGGCACCAGTTGTGTGTGAATTGAACCAGGATCAACCTTGTTCAAGGCAAGCACCCTACCAGTTGTACTATCACTCCAGCCCTATTTGACTTAGTTTTGCCCAGTGTGAACTTTTGATAAAATCATGTATCTGTTGAAATTCTTATTTTGAGTTCATAGTGTCCCTCTACAAACTTTCCTTTGGGCAAGACATACTTAAATTATTCAAGTCACTTAGTTTCCTGTCTATAAAATCTGGATAGCAGTTTCTACATACTCATCTCACAGGATTATTAAGATTCCATGAGATAATAGAATATGTAAAACACTTTAAAATGGTAAGTGCTCTCTACCTTAATGAGTAAAGTTGAATATCTGGACTAAGTAGGGAAAGGTTAGGGTTTCACAAATGAAAATGAGTGTTCTTTCATTTACCAATAAGAGTAGAACTTAAATATTTTTGTTAGAATTATTGCTATAGTCATAGGACATTTCTTTTGTCTTATTAGATAAGTATTTCCTGGTAATATATTGTACTTATATCTGTTTTCTTTGATTTTTTTAACAGATATGGAGGCTAATCACCAATTTCTTATTTTTTGGGCCAGTTGGATTCAATTTTTTATTTAACATGATTTTTTTGTATCCTTTATTAAGTGGGGTAGCAGAAAACTTTAAGTGTTCTTAAATACAGTATTTGATGGCCACAGATACAGTTAAGAGAAATTTACATATATGAACTCCTGAGTTCTATTCCTACCACCAAAATAACCGACAAAACAAGAAACAAAACTCTAATAGAAAAAATAAAAGAAAAAGGTGTAACTTTTAAGTTGAAACTATTAATCCGGTTGATTTTCATATTAGTTGTAACTACTCAGTGTAGTTGGTCAAATAGTAATGTTTTAAGAGTGTTTGCATATTACAGTTCCAAAGGGAAGTGTAATATAAATGGCAAATTACAGCATTTTTTCTAGTGACATAAAACAAAGGGAGAGTAGATTGAGAGTAGACTCAGGAATAGAGCTCCCTGGATTTTAATTGCTGGTTCAACTAACTGAAAATACAGTACCAAAATGTCTAGTCCCAGGTTCTGGTTTGTTGAAAAAGAATGGAATTGTGTGCTGGTTTGTGTGCTGGGGTGATTGGGACTATGGGGTAGGACATTTCTCTCCCTCTCCCACCCTCTGGATTTAGAGGGAAATTACATCTCAGCGCATCGGTAATAAAAAGAGGGCCTCCAAGGGGTTATAGGATTCCTACTACCTTTGTGATACACATTCTGGTAAGTTTCTAAGAATTCACATTTAATTTAAATCACATTTTTATTAACTAAGGCATAGAAATATTTAAACTTTTGCCTGAGAAAGTAGTTATCACAAAAGGTTTCTTGGTGGGGACTTCTTCCAAGCTAGTTTATGAAAAATTAGATGTGGCCTGGTTAAACATGGGAATAAGTAGGTGACTATAATTATGTTTATGCAGGATTTGACTTAGTTTCCCAGTAATGAAAATTTTTTTTTAAATACGGCCTTTGTCTTGTCTAAAATCCCTGGTAAAAGAGATTTAATCATGCCACCAATCATAAAAATTCTTACAGAAATGAAGACTTGGCTTCTTATAAATAATATGGAGTCCAAGTGTACTTAAGTGATACATTAAATACTTTTTTCTTATTTATGTGCTTTATATTTTCTTAACTTGGAACTTAAGATATCGTTACTGTCGAATGCTAGAAGAAGGCTCTTTCCGAGGTCGGACAGCAGATTTTGTATTTATGTTCCTATTTGGTGGATTCTTAATGACTGTATCCTTCAACAACTAGAACAAACACAGGAACACATTGAATTACACCCTCTTATAAACACTTCATTTCCCATTATTCACTAGATATTTTGAACAAATAGATCTCTTTATTTTAGCAGCAGACTACAACTGTTTATTTTGCAGCACACTTTCTAAACCTAGAGATAAAACAGGATTTTTTTTTTTTTTTTTGGCTATGAGGAATTCAAGGAACTTTTAGCCCAGGTGGGTTACTATTAAGCATCTTAGATATATTATTAATGATGAATGTGCTTTATTTTTAAACTAAGTTGGTAAGAAACATTTTTGGCCACTACCAAAATTTTTTTAAAAAAGAACCATTACCTGTATAACACACTTGAATGTAGTCCTGTTTGACAAGATGATTTTGCTCCAGCTGACTTTATTTACATCTGTAAAGATGCTAATGGTGAGTGCACGTCATTGTAATTATTGACCAAGGAATTAATGTGTTTTTCAAAAAAGGAAGGAACTTCACAAGAATAGAATATTAATTTGAAGTAGCTACAAACCAGATTAATTTACCCTATGTGGGATTTTGCCTGATTGCTCTGGGTTTTGTTTAATTTGGTTTTATCTTCCGTTTTTCGGGCTTTTTCTCTACTTAAGTTGTAGCTACAGTTTACCTTTCCTACTTCGAACTTAATTAGAACACAATCCTTAGTTCTCTTCTCCAGACTTCCCTATTGCACTTTTAATGTTGATGTTTTCCTTAATGCCATCTGCTAGCTTTTTGGTTTGTTTGTGAGTTTAGTTTTCTTGGGCCAGGCCTTTACAATAATGCTTGTCTACGTGTGGAGCCGA